CTTTGATTTACTTGTAGAGCTGGAATTGAACTAATGATAATTGAAATAGCAAATAGAATTAAAAGAATGATCCATATATGTCGTTTTATTTTCCGTGGACGCTTTGTTAACTTCAAGCAACGATTACAAATTATAAAATAAAGCCAATCAGCAATTTGTACGGCAGGAACATCAATAAATAAATAGAATGCATATGAAATTGATAAAATAATTGGTAATGCAAATATAATTAGTCCTATAATAACAGCTAGATCTCGACCTAAATGTGGAGCTGTCCATTGAACAAATGAAACATCCACAATACATAAAATGATGTAATGTGTAAGATAAATACCAAATGAGATTTTACCTAGAAAATGAACGATTTTTGTTGATAAAAAATTTTGAAAGTTTTTCGATATAATTGATAAAAGTAATAAACAGAAGCCTCCCAAGGAAATCCAAAACCAACCAAACATCCAACCTAATGGAGACCATAATGTTCCACTTCCATTCACTACATCTGTATTGAATACAGGATATGAACCAAAATATATTGTGAATAATATTAGACTCAAATTGATTAGAATTGACCAATACATTTTTATTGAATGACAAAAATGAAGATATCCACCAGCATCTAAATCGCTTAATAAAAGACCAAAAGCAAATGGTTGAATGTACTGAACTGGTCTCGGTATTGATCCATGAGTAGCTAACCATACTACAGGTAAAATAAGTATAAGAAATGCATAGAACACTATGCGATAGCGATAAATAAAAGATCGAGTTACTAAAAATGCTAAAAAATATATTAGAATCGAACAGACGAATTCGACTTGCATTGTCCATTGTATTGTATACAATGATGGCATCCAAAAATATTGTCCGAATGTATTTAAAATAACATATCCGAAATTAATTTTTTCTGGATCTACACTACCTTCACCAATTTCATGACATTGATTAAAACCATAGAATGGTCGAAAATGTAATATAGCAAAATAGAATAACAGAGCAATGGTTGATGGAATAAAAAGTCGTGGAAATCGACGAATTAAACCACTAAATAAAATACGATTATCATCAAAATGTTCAAAATATCGTCGTACAAGAACACATCCAGATAGTACAAAAAAACCAGCGACAGCAAATTCTCCTGCCACCAATAAACGTAAAGGTGAATGTTGCATCCATGGACGAAAAAAAATCGAAAAACTCTCTTCATGATTTGTTTTACCCATTAATAAACAATGACTAAATACAACAATTAAACAAAGTATTCCACGAAGACCATCAAGATATAATAATTTTGGAACAGCATTTAATCGAGTCGTCACTTCAGTTGGTATTGATGATGATAATTCCTTGTTCACATTTGTAATTGATATATTAACGCATGAATCA